GAAACTCCGTCTCAAAAAAAAAAAAAAAAAAAAAAAAAAATAACAGATTTGTGAGTTAGTTGCTTCTCTGGTCAAAAGGCCCTTGTCAAGACTCATCTTGGGACTGAAATACTTGAATGAATCCCCAGATCTTTATTAATGGCTTTAAAGACATTGTTGGGTTTCCTGCTCTCTTGTCCCCCTGTAATCAGACAATTTTCCACACAAAATCCAGAGGGATCTTTTTTTTTTTTTTTTTTTTTTTCCAACTAAATCAGAGGATGTTATTCTTTTGCCTACAACCCCCCAATGGCTTCTCTTTAAACTTAAAATTTATGTTTCCTTCATGGTCTCCAAGGCCTTGCACAGACTGGCCCCAGCCTTCCTCTCCAGCCTGATTTCCTGCCTCTCTTCCTGTACTCCTTGCCTGGTTGCCTCCTTTCTGTTCACTGAGTGTATCGGCTGATTCATGCCTCAAGGCTCTTCCTCAGCTGATCCTTGGGCCTGCAGTGAGCTCCCTGCAGAGCTTTACTTATAAGGGCTCAGCTTGTTTTTTTTTGTTTTTTGTTTTTTTGTTTTTAAGATGGAGTCTCACTTTGTGGCCCAGTGGCGCAATCTTGGCTCACTGCTACCTCCACCTCCTGGGTTCAAGCGATTCACATGCCTCAGGCTCCTGCATAGCTGGGGCTATAGGCACATGCCACTATGCCTGACAAATTTTTGTGTAGAACCCGGGTTTCACCATGTTGGCCAGGCTGGTCTTGAACTTCTGACCTCAAGTGATCCACCCACCTAGGCCTTCCAAAGTACTGGGATTACAGGTGTGAGCCATTGCACCCAGCCTGTCTCAGCTTGAGAGTCTCCTCCTCGTATGCTTCCTGACCGTCTCACCTCCTGCTGCCCACCCTGTCTCCATCCCCAGCATGTTACTGGTTTTTTTTTTTCACGGTATATCGAGCTGTGTGAAATGCTCTCACCTGTATATTTCTCCTGTGACAGTAGATGGAGACACCTGGAGAGAGGGTCTGTTTACAGCTGTTTGTACAGCACCTGCCATAGTGCCTGGCAGCAAGTGGCATTTGATCAATCATTGACGGTGAGTGGATGACCTGGAGCTGCCATTTGGAAGTAACCTGTTTTCCCTTTGCAGTGTTGATGGGAACCATTTTCAGCATCCTGCTGGTGACTGTCATCCTTATGGCATTTTGTGTCTACAAGCCCATTCGGCGTCGGTGACAGCCAGACAAACAAGTTCTTCAATGAGTATTTGGGAATAGGATAAGTTGTGTTGCACATGGGCCAGTGGAGAAGTTGGAATCAAAACTTTCCTACCTGGAAATGACCTTTGGTCTGGACAGTTGGTAAACGCTAAATGATTTAGAAGAGAACATCTACTAGCAATTATTTTTCCTAACACTGTAGTGCAAATAATTGGCCCCTCAGTTTGCTTCTCAGTGTTTCTTTTTCTGTCTGACTGTACTTGTTAAAAGTAAGGCCTGAAAGCTCCAAAGGTCAGTGTAAAGATGGAGTGTTCATTAGAAAGAAAACATGGTAACCTTGTGAGTGCCTGTGAGAACCACACTGGAAAGAACTAACCATTAATGCTTGAGAATGTTAATAAGAGGGAGACTTACAATGTAGACTTTCTCTATTTAAGAACCATTTGGTCACAACGGGTTAAGAATCACCGATGTTTTTTCTCACCTGAGTTGGCCTAGAATGCTCTGGTTGCAAAGTGGTGTCAGCTGCGAGGAACTTGGGCCCTCGTTTCTCACCTGCATCCAGCCCTGAACTCAGGTCCTCCCCCTGAAGGCAGAGTCACATCAGGTAGACCTGTTACTACATGCACATTTGGCCTGGAAGTCTCTGAGGTTGGACTGGAAATGTTACCAGGTTGGTCCCTCACAAAAAGGACTCTATCCTGCTCAGACACATTAATCTCCCTTGCCCTGCCTTTGAGTCTTTCTAGCCCACGGTCTGAAACTTGAGGTAACTTTCCAGATTTGGAATCTAAAAGGCTCAGCAGGCGGTCTGTTCATCCCTGGGTGGGGAGGGCCCAGCCAACAGAAATGCATGTCCACTGTGCGGGCCAGTGTGTGTTTACACAAATTTCATCTCAGCTTTGAAAATGCTGCTATTAGTTTGCACTGTTGGTGAACTGGAATTTTTCCTCCTATTCAAATGATACTTTCATACTTATAGAGTGGTCATCAATATTTATTTTAAGGTGCTAGATTTAATTTTGTTATTACATTGAAATGCTTATCTTGTGTTCATTCAAGCACAGCACTGATTTTAACAACCTGCATTTAATGTGAAATAACTGAAATAAGATGTAACTGTTTAAGGATTTTATTTGTAATCTTGTAACATTGAGCCATTGAAATGTTCACTGTTCTCTGCTTTTGAGCAAAATGTCAATTAAAATTAAAGTAAAATCCTATATACTGTTTTACTTCACCAATTATTTCCCAAGTGTTTGAAATGCAGATGTTTGAATTTGATCTAATCACTTAAGGAAGCTCTGTGAAGTGTGAATTTTTTTTTTTTGAGTTGGAGTTTGATTCTTGTTGCCCAGGCTGGAGTACAATGGTGCGGTCTCGGCTCACTGCAACCTCCACCTTCTCGCTTCAAGTGATTCTCCTGCCTCAGCCTCCCAAGTAGCTGTGATTACAGGCATGAGCCACCATGCTCAGATAATTTTTTTGTATTTTTATTACAGATGGGGTTTCACCCTGTTGGCCAGGCTGGTCTCAAACTCATGACCTCAGATGAACCACCCACCTTGGTCTCCCAAAGTGCTGGGATTACAGGGTGAGCCACCTTGTCTGGCCTAAAGTTGAGATTAAGAAGTCTCCTAGTGCTGCCTGTGATTTAGGGGCTGTGGAGTCATTTGCATGTTGTATTTTTTTCCACCTGGACCTCAGGCTTACACCTACACATATTTCTAGATAGAGGTCTGGGTGGGACTTTGAACTCCATCACTCACTGCACCACTGAGTCATTTGAAATTTCCACATCCAGTGCATCTTCCTTGAGGTCATTGTGGTCAGCAGGAGACTGTGCGACCAAGCTGGCAGTTGTGACAACTTCCCTTTCCTGTCATTATTTAGAACAGACTTCCCCACTTCCTTGACATCCCGCATTTATGTATGGTGTGACAAGCTTGTTAACAGAGCAGAGTGCCTTAGGAACTTAGTTCCTAGCAATGGTCTAACATGCAGAAGTTGCTCAATTAAAGTTTCTGGCCAGGTGAGGTGGCTCACGCCTGTAATCCCAGCACTTTGGGGAGGCCGAGGCGGGTGGATCACCTGAAGTCAGGAGTTTGAGACCAGCCTAGCCAACATGGTGAAACCCCATCTCTACTAAAAATACAAAAAATATATTGGCGTGGTGGCACACACCTGTAATCCCAGCTACTTGGGAGGCTGAGGCAGAATCGTTTGAACCTGGGAGGAGGAGGTTGCAGTGAGCCAAGATGGCACCATTGCACTCCAGCCTGGGCAACAAGAGTGAAACTCCATCTCAGGAAAAAAAAAAAAAAAAGTTCCTATTGATACTGGGCCACTCAAGCTTAGCTTTTCAGTTTTTAGTTAAATAATCCATAGGCATTGCACCTCTTGACCTTAAAGAGTAATGGTTTTCTTCATAGTGTCCTTGTGGCTTCAAGCATTGATCTTTACTTTCCCCCAAAAGCAAAGCAGCTCCTTTACATCTTCCCAGAAATACAGCCTCATTTCTGGAACCCATTCATTTCTACTGGCCACTACCACTGTTGTTTTTAATACCAACACATTTAGGTATAGGAAGACATAGAAGCCTTTTCATCTGGACATCTAGGAGCAGCCTCATAAAGTAGTTTGGCTTCAAGGGAGAGCACTGATGCAGAGCTTTGATGTTGGCTGGCCTTCCCTTACCCCACAAGAGCCAGTTCACCTCCAGGAGGACCACAGAGGTGTCCAAATAGCCCGACACTGGCTTGTTTTTAGTTGCCATTTGAAACAAGCAGCATGAGGCCTGTTAACCTGGATAGGAAGGCTGGGAGGAGGATGCCACCTTTGCAGTGATGAACTGAGTGATGTGAGGCATTTTAATGTTCTACTGACATACATAACAGGAAGTGTGGGTACATCCAGTGACTAGAAAAAACTGAAAAGAAAAAAGACTCAAGACTGGAATATTGTAGGAGCACCCTCTAAGGAAGCAGTCTTTATTTGCATTTTTAGAGTGAACACATGAAAAATGCTGCAACAGTTTGACACAATGCTCAGTCCCTTTTTAAGTGAATTCCTGGGGAGAAAGGCAAGGACCTTGGGGAGCAGAGCAGTGGAATGCAAACACAGAAATCATCTACGAGTCACCTTCGTGAGCCAAGGACATGGCCTTGCTGCAGCCATTCCAAGAAGTGTCTTTGCTCACGGTAAACGCCAAGTAAACAAAAGCCACATTGTGTATTTGAAATAAATATGACGTTGCCTATACTGGCCTCATGTGCAGAGAAGGAATTTTGGTCAGACCATAACAAAATAAAAAAAAAGAAGCAGATGGTGAAATGGAATTAAAAGCACAATTCTTTGTGTCTAGGAACGTTTCACTGGCAATACTAACTGTATGATACAGACGTTAACTGGAACAGTAGTATATGTTTCTCTTCCTATCCCCAAAGAAGCACAACAGAGGAAACAGACGCAAAATGGAGGAGGGTATTGTTTACCAGGTTATTTCAGTGCAGCCTGTGGGAATGAATACATGGGCCACAGTGAGCAGTGCCCTCAGCTGTATCCCCAGGGTTCTGTATGTTGCGCTATGCTGCGATGGTTATTTATAGGAGGTTTGACAAAAGAGAGTTAACTACTAAAGGTATCCAAAAAAGGCCTGAGAAAATCTGGTTAAAATGTATAACCTTGTATTGCTACTGATGGGAGTAGTTGTTTTTATACCTTTTACAAATAATAAAAAGATTCTCTTAAAAAATATATTTATCCAGAAAGGATGTTGATTTGAACTCTAAAAAGCAACGTGGAATCATCATTTTCCCTTTTGAATGAAGAGCCCTGGAGCTCCATTGTTTTCAGCTCCCTTTCTGGTTGCAAGTCCATCCTTCCTCTGGAGTGAGTCTAGGGCATGCAGTGGGCTCTTCCTAGGTGTCTACGAGGAAAGCCTTCACTCGTGCCGGAGTAGAACACACCTGGTTTGGTTCTGTGTGTTCCAATATTTAGCCAGCTTGCCTACTTCAAGAATAAGTCTCAGTTTCCCCTAGCTGCTCCTTCAGGGACAGGATTAGCTGCCTTTGATTTAACCTGGAGAATCCTGCTCTCAAAAGAATTGCCTTTACAAATTCAAATCCGATCCCTTGATGCATGCAGTGAGGTGATGTGAAATTATTAGTAATGTTTAAGGCTAAGGCAACATCCATGGCCATTTGTGTATCTTAATTTGATGCAAATAGTTAATAATAATCTAAAATAGATCCTATATGTATCTCCTCTAACTTTAGCTAGGTGTGGAAGGAATGGAATTCAGATGGAGATGAAGGAAGAATAAGGACAATGTCCTAGAAACCCTGTAAAAAGGTAAAGAGTAGATCAGCACAGATTACCCATTTCTTTGGTGAACAGTAAAGAAGTGTCTCCAATTCTCATAGACCACACTCCACAAAGGCTGCTGCTGCTCTCATATATAAAAGCACCCTGACTCTGCAATAACTTGTTTTGATAAAAATTTATCTACAAACCTGCGGGGATTGGGGTTTTGTCTAAAGCTGGTAGTAAAAATGTGACCTGCAAGCCAATATAGCTAATGGAAAGTGACAATGCTCTCCTCCCCTCAGCCTGGAGATGGGGCCTGCAATCCCTGGTCCCTTCTCCACCTCAGGGAGCAGCCTGGATGGGCCTGGGAGTCCCTGGTTCTGCACCTCTGCATAAAGAAGGGGCAGCTGTTGTCTGCAGCATGCATGCGAGGTACAGGCCCTCGGCCCCAGGGCCCTGGTTGACACAGCATCTGTGACAGCCCAGAGCCTCTGCTTTGTGCAGCCCATGGATCGAAAGGTCTATTTGTCAGTGAGTGATAGCTGTAAGACCTGCTGGAGCTCAGCCTCTTCCTCCTGGAGCCGGAGCTCCCATTCCTCCAGCTCTTTGGCAGAGAGCTCCATGGCCCGCTGCAAGTCGTTATCAAAACGGCTTGTCTCGCTCAGGGCGCTGGGGCACAGGCCTTCCGTGCTGCTGAGGAGGCTCTCCTGGATGGCCCTGGGTTGGAAAACAGGAAAAAAGGGAGAGTCACTACTATCATCATCATGGTGGCAGCAACAACTACATTTCTTAACTGCTTACCAAGGGCACACTGTGACAGGCATTTAATATGCATGATGCCATTTGATCCCACATAACTCTGGGGGCATAGGTGCTGTGTACAGGTGAGAAACCCCACTCTCCTGCCCAAGACCACCCAACCAGTAAGTGATAGGGCTGGGAATTAAACTTGAATCTGTTTTAAAGCAAAACTCAGGTTCTTCATCAACAGGTTCTCATGGACCCCTAAAGTATAAGAAAAGTCATTGTAAAATGAATCCTTGCAGTTTTTCCTGTAATCTCTGGAGCTGTTCCCCCAAACTTCTTTATCTTTACAATTATATAAACTTCCCACTGAGGACATCTAGATCCTGTGATCATACTTCCTTCACAGGAGATCAAACCAATCAAAAAACACTGACTCAGTACCTTTCCCCAGTGGCACTGACCTGTGAACCAGTCAGCAATTCTATCACCCATTCCTGGAAACTTGCTATCAAGAGTCTAGCAAGTTTATTATAATGAGTAATTGCCACAAGAGGAAGCAGGAGAGCCAACACTTTTCTAGTCTTTCCTGCCAGTGTGTGGCACCATGCATCTGCCTGGGGACCAAATGCACAGTGCCATGCGTCTGCCTGCCTGCTGAGTGCCTGTGTCCACCCTGGTTTAATCCAGAGTCATGTCAGTCACCTCTCGTACTGGGCGTCATAGGTATTTGTCTGGCTGATCCCTCCATTTGAAGCTGGTCCTGAAAGTTCCTGGCAAAGACAAATGTGACAGACATGAATACGTCTTAGGAGAAATTGGTGCCATTCTGGTAAGGAAACGATGGCTGCAAGAACCAAATTAAAAGTCTTTCCATGCCTATTATTGATAGTGCTGTGTGAAAAATTAACAGGGACTTGGGTTACCTCAAAAACAACACCTAAGTGGCAGGTAGTAACATGCCACAGCCTAATTCACAGCCACAACCTTCTCATTCTTTCTACAAAATCAATCTATTAAATATAGCTAACCCACGTGGAAGATATATAAAAAGAAAAACAAAACCACAGCTAACCTTGGGCAAAGTTCAAGTGACCAAAGCAGGTTTTGGGATTTTTTTAGAGATAGGGTCGCACTCTTGTCCAGGCTTAAGTGTAGCGGTGTGACTGTAGCTC